AAATATCCTCAGGTGTTCCTTGTTACTACTTAATGTAATTGAGTATGGGCACCCAGTTGTCCAGGGTTATGGACTTAAGTATAAAAGACTAACAGCTCTAATCCACAGTGCTTCTCAGAACTCTCAGAGAAGCCACTAGGAGAGCTGCTCCTAGATCTGAATAAAACCCATTCATTTTTCTATACCCACAGCTCCCAGGACCTTTTTTCCCCCCCTATTACCTAGCTCACAGACCTGCATGTGGAGGGTTTGTGACCCAGTCTGTGCAACAGACTCAAGGGGTCTGTAAGCCCTAGCTTTACAATTTTTAATTCATTATCTCTCATGTGATCCTTTGAAATTTAGAACTTTATCTAAGATCCTGCTATGGGCTGAATATTTGTGTCCCTCCAAAATTCTTATGTTGAAATCTAATCCCTAGTGTGTTGGTATTAAGAGATGGGGACTTTGAGAAATGTTTAAGTCATGAGGGCTCCCTCCTCATAAATGGGATTAGTGCCCTTATAAAAGAGGCCTGAGGTGTCTCTTCCTCCTATCACATGAGGACACGTAGACAGTGCCATCTACGAAAGAGAGCCTTCAGCAGAAATTGAATCTTCTGGCAACTTGATCTTGGACTTTCTAGCCTTCAGAATAGTGAGAAACAAATTTCTGTTGTTTATAAATTACCCAGTCTAAGGCATGTTTTTATAGCAGCCCAAACGGACAATGGCAGGACCTTAAGGAAAGCAATCACTTTTTAAAAACTACCTGCTGTAGACTGGATGCCCCCGCAACCTCACTGAAGTTTAAATTCCCATTGTAATTGTTGAGGGTGGGAAATTCTATCATGGTAATTGAAAGGTGGGGCATTGAAGAGGTGATTAGAATGTAGGACCATGTTACAGTGAATTGATTAAAAATCGTGGTTGGGGGCATGGTTCTGAGGGATTTAAAAGAAGAGCACTTAAGAGGTTAGTCTCTCTCTGCTCTGCCATTTTCTGCCATGTGAGACCTCAGGTTACTGTCGCCACCACCAAGACCCTCACCAGATGTATTCCCTGCACTGTGGACTTCCCAGCCTCTGAAACTGTAAGCAAATTTCATTTTCTTTATAAATTACCCAGTTCCATGTATTTTATTATAAGCAGTGTTAATGGACTAATACATTACCAGTTTTAGCTTCTTATCTTGCTTGTAATTGGCACAAAGCCACACTTTTCATAAAGTATACTGCATTCACTTCAAATCAGCAAAAAATTTTTGAGGGCATACTCTACGTTTAACACACTACTGTGTGAAAAGTCAAACTTGCTGTGTAAAAGTTAAAAAATAATAGAAAGTGGTATATAACTCAGTGGCATATATTAAATGCCAAACTAATGAGGCATATTTTACAAATCTGATTAATTTGTTTAAAAAAGTCAAAAATGTCTTGGAGATTATACTGCTGCTTATATAGTTATTAGTTCTCTAAGAAAATCTACTCTGTAATATTAAGAGGAATGAAAATGAAAGTAATTTCTTCCATGATGCACAAATTTTTTAAAACTGTAACAAAGAAAGAGCCCTGACATACTTCCTTCTAACAACTCTCCACATTCTAACACATATTTCCATTTTCTCTCTACGCATCCTCATCTTTCTGATTTGTGGCTGTCTTGTCTCCACTTTCATAAATTAAAAATATTCAGATCATGTGAATGAGGAAAGAGGTTTAAATATAATCAAAACATTCTCATATTTTTTCCTGATAAAAAAAAATCTTGTCCAATCTACCTTTCATGATGTGTATAAAAGTATACAGGCACAAAAGAATGTGTGTTTTTAAATCTTCAGTGTGGAATATACTATAAAGCAAATGTACCTCACAGGGCCTGGTTTTCCAAAGCCTTGCAGTTTTAAATATTGACCTTGTGGAGGACTGGAAATTTTCCTTGGGCTATAAAGTCTCTGGTGTAAGATAAAGATTTGTGGCACAGCAAGGTTGCTGGCTCAAAGACAGACTAGTTACTGATTGTTATGTAAAGATACTGAGAAATTGCTGTAAGAAGGAATGTTTGCTAAGATCAAGCTTTTGTTGATAGCCTTACTGGAATGTCATCTGGCTTGTTTCACTGAAAGTTACCAGCCTATACTGTTAAACTATAACCCCTACCTATGTCTCTTCCTGTAACTTCCTGGTCTGGAAAATAAATGCAGGAAGAGAACCCCAATTGGCGGTTAATTTCCTGAGGAAAGGTTGCCTCTCACTTGAGGGTTCTGACAGGAGATTAACCACTTTGGGGTCTCCACTGCTCAGAAGAGATGGGCTTTGAGTAATCCTTTGTGTCTCCGTCACCCAGGGGAAGTGGAGTGACAAATCCGTGGGGGGCGAAGCAACACAAAGCAACACTTCAGAACTACATTATGAATAAATATATATATAGTAGTTATATACAGTAGTAACCTACAGCTAAAAAACTATATGCTATACATGTATCACTGATTAGGTAGATTATGTTGATTGCATCCTATGTATTATTTCACACCATTCATCATTCATATTATTTGTATATTTTTTAAGAACAAAAAATAGAAACTTGCAAAGTTTACAACAAATAAACTCATTAAAATATTTTCAGTAAATACAACAATATGTAAAGCTTACTTTACTTTAGCAATATGTGCGTTATACTTTATATTGTTTGGTTCAAAGACGAAATAGCTAGACTCTTAGATTTTTGTTACAAATACTGTGAAACAAAGTATGTTTTTATAGGTCTTAGGTGCATGTACAATATGTTTCCGGGATAGTCATCCAACAGAAAAACACTGCTATTCACTGGGGAATAATATTTAACGGCAAAAAAAAAAAAAAAAAAAAAAAAAAAAAAAAAAAAAAAAAAAAAAAAAAAAAAAAAAAAAAAAAAAAAAAAGAAAAGAAAATCAGACGTGGAGAGAACAAGGAAGGAAAGAAAAAAAAAGACGTGAACTAAATGTAAAAGGTCTATTGAGAGATCGGAAAAAAATATATTCAGGATATGAATTTAACACAGATTATAATATTTGTGATAAAAAAAACTTATTTAATTTGCTGAAAAAAATAATTCTCCCCTAAGACTGATGTACTCAACGTCACTTTAAGTATTAAACAACATGCAGAATAAGGCTACATGTCTTATTTGGCTACGTTTGAAAACTAATTTATTTTTCCCCTAATCTGAAAGTAGTCTAAACTGGCTATTCCTATAAATGACTTACTCAGGGAAATTTCCTGCAGAAATTCAAACAACTTAATTCAATACCTCAATAATTTCTTAACATGATAGAGTCCCAATCCCAGGAGATCTTTTTTTTTGTGTGACCGGTAAGGGGATCACAACCCTTGGCTTGGTGATGCCCGCACCGCACTCAGCCAGTGAGCACACCGGCCATCCCTATGTAGGATCCGAACCCGCGGCCTCGGCGCTCCCAGCGCCACACTCTCCCAAGTGAGCTATGTAGGATCCGAACCCGCGGCCTCAGCACTCCCAGCGCCACACTCTCCCAAGTGAGCCACAGGGTCAGCTCCCCAGGAGATCTTTAAGAAAAGAACTATTTATCATAAAAAGTTCAGGCATACATGTACCAGAAGGCTGTGGCTGAATCAAATTAGCTCTATTATTTAATATAACTAACACTACAAAGCAATGATAATATTACAAGTCATGGAAATATTACCTAAATGTTTGGGAATTCAAAAAACTTTGAATTCCGCATACCTTAACTCCAAGAATCCCAATAATACATTAAATTCCTTGGATCCTCATTTAAAGTGAAAAACTAATTTTTAAGCATATGTGCACAAGTACCTTAGCTTCTTCATGCCTGCTTGCATGTCCCACAGTCACAGAAGGCAGGAGATTTGGTTAGGCTTATGTTTACAAGATAGGGAAATTTCAACCTCAAAACCAAATATTTTCCATGTTTAATTCTGATATCTTATTGGTCTATATGCTGCCTCCTCCTCACAGTATGGTATCAAAATCTCCTAGATTTTGACTTTCTTTTAAAGCATAATGATAACATCAAGGAGACAGAATTGAAAAGTTCAAACACTATATGAGAAAGCAGAGCAAAACAGATGATGATCTAAATGCATACTGACACGTTTGCTAAAGACATTAGGTGCTCCATAAATGCTTGTTGAAATGCTGTTTGGCAACATTTGTTGTGATAAATTCATCTCTGTCTCTAATTTAAGAATCCTTATGAGTTAACCACAACCAGTTCAGTATAATTTAACAGAAAACATCTGGTGGAGCTTTTAAATGCTTCAGGACAGCATTTCACAAACTATGCCTGCCCCCACACCCACTGCAGCAGGAGAAAATGAGGTTAACAAAGAGAAGCAGATATGAATATCAGGAGATTCCTGAACATATCATTTGTTTATATGGACTTGGTCTTGCCTGAGGCCAGCCCCACTCCTAGATTTTCTATAGAATGCCCATACATTCCTTTTCTTTTTGACTTAAACTAGCAGGATTTCAGGTTCTGTAGAAAATCTTGTATATGCCTCCACAATGTTAGTATGTATATCAGAGTCCCATCAATATCCTTTTATGGTAATCAACAAGATGACTGTGACTATCAGGAAAAGAAACAATAGATCTCAGAAATAATCACAATCCCTCTTGGAAACTCAATAAATATAAAGATTGTGAGAAATTATTCATCAAAGAAACCTCTAACTCAGTAGAATTCACATTTACAAATCACATTTGAGCATGGAATCCTTTTTTATGAACTTCTTATGTCTTCTAGAACTACTAATTGGTAGTTCTAAAAGTTCTAAAAGAACTAAAAGTTTCAGTTTAGGAAACGTAAATTGGATACATGGCCTTGATCTCTTAGATCCAGATCTCTGAAGAAATACTGAAGCAAGCATTCCTGTCTGCTTCTTAATATATTAAAAATTTTAAATATACCAGGAGAAGATCACATAACTCAATTTTGAATGTAAAAGTACTTTACATTCTAGATTGAAACTAACTTACCTGCATTGAAATAAGAATGAAATCAATTAGGCTCCCAATTCCACAAAACCCTACAGTGCAAAATTTTAACAAACCTAGAAAAGAAGGTAAAGTCATTTACAATCTGGAAAGTCTTATAAATATTAACAAACTTTTCCATTTTCCAATAAGCCATTATATATACCACGAATTCTTTATATCGAGAATATAAAATAACACTTTGAAAAACCACATCTTCACCTGAAAGAATAAGAAAAGTTTAAAGAAACCTCTATACAGAAAAGCCACAAAATAATCGAATTCTTTATATCGAGAATATAAAATAACACTTTGAAAAACCACATCTTCACCTGAAAGAGTAAGAAAAGTTTAAAGAAACCTCTATACAGAAAAGCCACAAAATAATTTATTAATTCACTTAACAAATAAATGGTAGTAACTGAAAAACTCAATATATTCTTACAAAATTTTGTAAAAGGTTTAGAAAATAATCCTTAAGTCTCAAAATACACCAGAGTTACAGGACATCTCTTAGTCTTAAAATCTTTATTTATTTAGACTTAATACCTTATGTGATTTAATACACATTTAGAGTAGAAAGTTCAAATATATAAACTGTCATGCCACAGAAAATCAGGAAATAATATTGATATTGTAAAATTTTATTAGTAACCCAATTTTCTCTTAAATTTATCCTATACTTTTTTTTTCTTCTAAGCATCTCCTGTTTATTAGTTTTATAGTCAAAGTCAACAATTTTGGGCACTATATCCATCTTGGTCCTTGATCCCAACCCAAAAGCTAAAATGCTAAAATGGATAATAGATCATATCAACTACAAATAGACACCAGCTAAAAATGATAAGAGTGGATAAAATCACCTCCTGCATACAACCTGGAAATACACAAATAAGACTGAAATATGTATTAGATAACTTTTCCCCCTTCTTAGTATTAGACATATAGCAGAAGAATGTTCTAAGTACTAGAATAACACATGTTAAAAATAATTTAATAACTATTAAAATATAGAGATAATAGAAATTTTTGCTTTTAGTTTTCTTCAAAACACTTATTACCCTTCCTAACATTTTATCTTTGTTTACAGTCTCAGGAAGCCCCATTAAGAGCAGAAAATTTTATCTATTTTGTTTACTCCTGTGTCCTTAGTGCCTACAATATTGCCTGGCACACATAGATGTTCAATATTTGTTGAATAAATGAATAAATCTTCTCATATTTCTGCTTCCTAAAGACCCCTATCATTTTATCCATTATCTTACTCCTTTAGTTATTTTTTTTAGTAGTTGCATTTTACTATACTTGCCCAAGGAAACTTGACTGCTGAGATTTTATCCACTCAGTATATTTTATATTTCTGAAATGTATCCTTCCTCACATAGCATATTAGTGTAAATTTGGAAGTATCACAATTTCCCTTCCTTTAATTTGTTTATAAAAAACAAGTATTGTCGGGCCTTAAAAACTAATGCCACCTTAAGTGACATTACAAGCAGCGCCATTATGGGCCCACAAGGGTGTATTAATGTGGCAGCCTAAGACGGCGCTGGGAGGAAGTAGGGTGGTGGTGTCTGCGGGAACCTTGCCTTAGCCCTTATTGGCCAAATACAAGCACTTGAGGTTGCAATAGCTAGGCATTGAGACAGGATGCATGCTCTCTTGACCTTTAAGCTGATAAGATTATGTTAAAACCTATCTGCCTATAAAAGCCAGTGCGGGGCCCGGCCCGTGGCTCACTCGGGAGAGTGCGGTGCTGATAACACCAAGGCCCCGGGTTTGGATCCCATATAGGGAT